ATACTCAATTTTGGCTATTGTACTTAAGGGAGGTGCTGCACCTGATTGCTCTTCCAGGCAGAAGATCTTACTTAAATGTATACACACTGTAGTCATACATGATGATAATTATTTAACTTAATAGTTTACYTTGTTTGTCACTCTTAATTAGTAGTGCACGCTGTCTATGACTGCAGAATTTACATTTGCTATCCCCAGGGTCTTCTTTGTAGTAACCACAGTAGCAACAGTCAGCTTTCTTACAACGCTTTGGGAYATAACTTTTGCCTGATGTTTTGGCTTTAGGGTTTAGGTTGTGRCCCTGTCCTCGCAACCAAAGGAGTGAGATATKCTYATGTATAAAAATTTGTTGCCACCTTGACTGGAAGTTGGTATTTCCAGCATACCTTGAGATAGAGATGTGCTTGGCCTCCCTWYCCTCCATGAAATTSAGACCTAAACTCATTTGATATTTATTTATCATGTCTTTAGTATGTGCTGGTACTATGAACCCCAAGGTCCACACAGATGGATGAAACCCAAACACAAGAAGATGAAGTCTAAAAAATGTGTAGCATAAATCTTGAAGCTTACTCAMCTCCTCACTGCTCAACTCCACACGACTAAACAACGCTATACAATCCCTTAATACCAGACACAAGTAGGMCAAAGCATGAAGGTGTTGCATTGCTTTGGGGTCTCTTTCTAAATCTCTTCTAGCAGATTTCTCTACAGAAGCAACTAAAAACATAAAATTATGTACAAACATACGCGAGTCCTTACCGGTAAACCTGTAGTCAAATTTTTTCTGCTGAGATTTTGTATCATCAAACCATTTAATAATTCTCTTTGACAGTCTTGACAAATTGCAGTCAATACGCATGGTCTTAATGTACTGTGCTAAGACAGATTTRGACGAAAGCTGTGAAAATAAAACTGAATCACCAAGGTTAGATAGTTTATATCTAAAAGATGCTGATGGAGTAGTGCACATAACAGCTTTCCGACGGAACAGCGTGCAGTAGGAAAGCGTTTTCTTTACGTTTCTGAGTGTATTGTATCACATTGTGATACGCTATTATCGTTGATAAGTTTATATAACGTTGCACCCCTGGGGATCCTCATTAGAGGACTCGTGCACATATGTAAATTGTTGACTGGTTAGTATTTATACAGGTAGATTTCTACAATCTGTCTCTCGCTTGCTGGACAGCAAGAAGTGTTTGATTTGGGAAGCAAACTTAACCACTCAGGCCGTCTTCTCAATTAAATCTTACTTCTCGTCAGATGTTACAGAATAGCTGAATTGTAAAATATGGAATTATCAATTATTATTTTGCTGTATTTGTGATTAAGACTTTATTGCAAGATAATTTGTTATACATAACTGAGTTAAGCTCTAGCCCTCGGAGCTCATACGCCGCATCGGTCGAGGACTACGTTTCCAGTTATTTTTCC